CACACACACACACACACACACACACACACGGTGACTCATATTCCTGAGTTTTCATACAGGGTAAATAAAAGTGGTGTTACCAGCTAAGAGCAAAGAGAGGAAGGTGTTTTTATTTGGTTCAGAAATAACACACACTAATACGTGAGCAAGGAATACTTGTGAAATCCAAGAACTTAAAATACATCTTATTCTCTATTGTACTGCACCTCCAGCACAGGGCAGCGCTCAAATAAACTGCTGATAGAAGGGGAAAAAAATCAATCAAAGACACATCTTACAGGAACCAAGAAATACTTACTCTGAAATGAAAGTTTTAAAATCGTTACTATGAATTTCACTCTTGTCTACACTTACTTTTCTCCATCCCTGCTTAAGCCCAGATAATCCTTGTCAACTAACCCAAATTTACAGCTCTGGAAGCTAACACCAGAGCAACAGAATGTTCATGAGAACACCTGGATTTTAATCCCCACTTTGTTGCTCTGAAAGAAATTTTTAAATGATTGACTTCTCCCCCTACCTCTCTGCCTTTCAGCCCCAAGTGTGCACTCTGCCTCCGCCTCCGCCCTCCATTCAGACACACACACACACACCTGTAGGAAAACCCAGTAGAGACCGCGTGCATGACATTTACCACGCTAATTCCACAAAGAAAGTGTTTCTTCTATTTTCTCATCTCATCTTTCTAAGTTCTAATAAAACCTCACTTCCCTGTAGACAGACAGACAGACACAAACGCACCACACTTGATTCCTGGGTACTTTCGTCTCACAGCACCAGCCCACCCGCTTGAGAGTCATGCTGTGGGTCCTTTCAGGCTGAAGGCAGAAACGAGGCACTTCAGCAAAAACAGAGGGTTAGGCTTCTCCACAACACAAGTTCCTCCCATGAGAACCCTCGTGCCTGTTAAGATGCTTCAGCGATATCAAATGATTACTTATTGCCTATTACAAAAATGCCATTTTCTATTTTCTACAGTTTCGCACATGTGAGGCTACTTTTACATTAAAAGAAATCAGCTATGTTATAAAACAGGCCAAATCCAGGACCACCAGCTTCTGGGTGAGTCCACGCCCACCACCCACACCAACAGCACTCGGCAGGCAGGCCGGCCGGCCACGGACAGAGGGGGAGTCTCGCCCCGCCTTGGGCGCTCCTGAGCGGGCAGCAGAGCTGAGACTTTGCTCTCGGCCTTTCCCGCGGCCCCTCCTATTGCAGCTCCATCTCCTCGGCTCGGCCCAGCGCCTGGGGCTTCCTCGGCCCTCCTTCCCATCCACTCGCCCTGCGGCCTCCCACTCTGGATCCTCCTCCCTACGTTTCAAGAGGGGCCCTGCCCTGGTGGAGGCTAAGCCTTTAGCCTCAGCCCTGAGTGCAGCCCTCATTCCCCTGCTAAGGATACCCCTGATAGCGCTCCGCTTCCTGAACCCTCCCCATG